GAGAGAGAGAGAGAGAGAGAGAGAGAGAGAGAGAGAGAGAGAGAGAGAGAGAGACGTTCTTTTAAGGTACAAAGCAATTGGTTTCCTCCACTGAAACCATCCTTTCCCCACCTCATCCACGGACTAAAGTAAAACTGAAGGAGTTTGGATTAGTACATTCCTCCAGAAGGCTCATTTTGGGGAGGAAATAACTCTTCTCATTTCCGTAGTCTTGCAAAAATCAAAACTGGGGGTAAGGGGTGAGGGGTGAGAGGGAAAGGGAGCAAAACAGAGAAATAGCCATATAGAATACACATACACAAAGACACACTCATCGAATATTTTAATACTACTGATAATTTCTGGAAATCTTCCAGAACAATTAAGGTGTCAATTGTTCTGGGCTCTAATTAAATTACTGGAAGAAACAAATGAAATTATTGCATATAATTTCCTTTTGCTGCTGCTGGACTCCGCATAACAAACCAGTCACTTTGCCCTGTAGCTAAACAGCATCTTTATTTTTCACCCCCCCAAAAAAAAAGGTGAAAAATATTAATTGTGATTTCTTCCGAGTAATTTAAGTTCTTTCTTTAGCCATAGTCAGTCCAAAAGAAGACATTTCTTGTCATTTACTCTTGGGAACCTCATAGCTTTTCCAGTCTCCTTTTGGGCTCCAGATAGCTTTAGTCGGTTTGGAAACTAAATGAAAGTTGTTGTTTTTTTCTCTTCAAAAGACAAGGCATGGAATTATTCTCATTTAGAGGCTGCAGTACCTTGCAATGGAAAGTTGCCTGTCACTAACTCTATGAACTTGGGTCAGCTACGTAATCTTTATTTGTTTTTCTTTCATGTCAAATGGAGATAATATCTTTCTTACCTATCTCCACGTGATTCATGTGAGGAGAAACTTGGTTCAATTTAATATTTCTTAAAAAGTCAGGAGTCCCCAGTGCTGAGTGATGAAGGATATAAAGATGTGTATGATAGTCCTTGCCCTCAAGGAGTTTACAAGCTAATAGAAGGGTGAAGACAAACATGCGTATTTCAATAATACAAAGCAGAAAGCAATAAAGGTCCAAAAAGGAGGACACGAGGTGTGAGAATTTCAGAGAGGAGAAAGAGATCATATCCCAGTAACTAGCCCATGCAGCAAGGATTCAGTAAATTACTTATGGAATGAGTAAATAAACAAATGAAAATATCCAATTGTGGGGAAAGAATGATTCAGAAAAGGCTTACATTGGATAAAACCTAAATCACTATTCAAATGTAAAAGGAAATAGACATAGATAGTGATGTGGCTATTAATACAATTGTTGTTGATATAATGGCTCTCCAGTGAAACTGTTCTCTCACCTGTTATCTGGGAGCTCCTAATTCCTAAATCTAAAATCAGTCTTTACCCAGCCTGGCTTGTCCACAACCCTCCTTCCCAAGACTCTCTCCCCTCTGACTTCCTTGTACTGCCTTTTCCTGGGTTGCCTCTCACAGCTGACAGCCCCTTCCTTAATTCCTCTTCTTCCACACTGTCTTTTTTTTTAGCTGAGCCATCCTGCCACCTGTTGGCAACTCAGCTTGGGCCTGGAATTGAACCGCTGTTGCTTAGAGCTCAAACTCTTGAGCGAACTCTTAACCAACTGAGCCACTCGGCCAACCCCGACCCTGTATTTAAATAGCTATGCTGTACTAGGTGGAACACTTCATAGCTTCATCCTTGTGCTGTGCTTCCCTGGACAGTATAATCCACTCTCAGCGCATCAGTTATCCACCAGCATGCTATTGCTTAATGAAACCACATCTCTAGCTTTTACCTTTCTCTGAAGCTGCTAAGCCAGATGCTACACTGCCCTCTCCATAGTGTTTGCTTGCTGCTTTCTAAGCCTGGAACGCCTTTCCCACCCCAGCCATGAAAATCCCATCTCACCATCACCTTTCTAGGCCAAGTTGAGATGCCTCCTCCTTCCTTCAGCCTTCCCTAATTCCCCAGGTAACATAATTAATCAATTCTTTCTTTCTTTTTTTTTTTTTTGTAGAGGGCAGTGTCACTGGCCCTCATATGTGGGATCCGAACTGGGGCCCTCTGATGTCCCAAGCCAGCTCTTAGCCACTGCGCCACTCAGCCGGCCCTAATCAATTCTCTTTTAATCTTCCCGTGCACCTATCAATCTCTTAGTTAATTCCATTTTATTTTATACTTAACTGTTGCCATATCTATATTCCTTACTAAATTATAATCTCCCTGAGGGCAAGAATTGGTGTCTTTCACTTTTATATAAGCAGGGTCAGTGGCAAGCATTTGGCTTTCAGTTCAACAAATGAATAATAGGTCCTTGATAAAATATCATGAAATGGCATATATCAATCTGTCTTGAATGTCTGGCTAAGTTACATCTATCCTGAATTAAATGCAATGAACTTAGGTCCTATCCAATCTTGTGTCTAAAAGCAAATTAAACACAGTCCAGATTTCCAAATACCTCCTTCCTTGCAAACCTAAATCAGCCACTTACACAATTTACTTAGATCAGTAAACTCTTTGACCCTATGTCTCTACAGATATAAATGAGTGTGAGACAACAAATGAATGTCGGGAAGATGAAATGTGTTGGAATTATCATGGTGGCTTCCGTTGTTACCCACGAAATCCTTGTCAAGATCCCTACATTCTAGCATCAGAGAAGTAAGAAAAATCAGAACTTTTGAAAGCGAGAATCTTCTGAGCTTACCAAGCCAAACTGCTGAATATATTTTATTTGCCTTTGCAGCCGATGTGTGTGCCCCGTCACAAATGCAGTGTGCCGGGAACTTCCCCAGTCCATAGTCTACAAATACATGAGCATCCGATCTGATAGATCTGTGCCATCAGACATCTTCCAGATACAGGCCACAACCATTTATGCCAACACTATCAATACTTTTCTGATTAAATCTGGAAATGAAAATGGAGAGTTCTACCTAAGAGTAAGTATCCTGAGTGCAGCCTTAGCTGTTGAGAAAGGTTCAAATTTGTTGTGTTGTTTGGTAGTATTCACATGGAAGGAAAGCTAATATTTAGAAAGTTTTTATATGCAGGCATTGAGTAAGGCCTTCCTGTGTGCATGTCTCATTTAATCCTCTTGGTAACACTGTTAGATTGATATTCATATTGATCTCCATTTTTTACAGAAAAGTAAGACTCAGAGAAATTAAGTAGCTTCTCTAAAGTCATGCAAAAACCAAGTTGCAGACTCTAATGAAGTTGTATGTGACCATTAAAACACAAGCCTACACACACACACACACACACACACACACACACACACACACACACACACACACCTCAAATAGATACCACAAATGAGTGATAGTTATTTAATTGCACATAGAAAAAAATTATTCCTGGAGAGCTTTTCAAAATCCATGAGTTCCTTATTGTTATATTCACACGATTATTTACATGCACCAAAACTAAAACCTGGAAGTCTCTAAGAAGTGATTCCCAACCCCCTGCACCGTATGTGTCCATAATTGTACCACGCTTGCAAACCTCCAGGCAGACAATGTGAGGTCACCTTTGTGTGTTCCCTTTCTTTCATTGCCTGTATGAAATCTTTCTCTGAATTCTGCCATTTCCTCTTCGCAGTGTCTCCTGGATTATTTTTGCCTCCCCATTCTCCTGCCCCTCTTCCTTGAAACTGGCTCTTAGCACCTCCCCAAACCCTCCAAGAGATTCAAAGCAGATCTCCCTGAATCCAGTGCCTCAGCCTTCCAATGCTCCTCTGCAAAATCTCAGCAAGTTCATATTAGGTTAAAACTCTGACATATTTTAAATATGGCTCACCACTTCATGTGAAAATGATGGCATCCCACCAAACAGTTTGCAGGGTTACGGTAACTATTTTATGCTAAGGATGTTATTCATCTAGTTACAATGTTCTCAAAACTCCTTTGGGCACTCTTCATTTTTAATCAGATTTTAAAGTCAATGTTTCATTTTGAGAATATGAAAAGTAAATTGGGAAATTCATCCTTGTGGTAAAGTTTACAGAGTTTTAATGTTTACACATTTACACTGTTCTTTGATATATTATGTTCCCTTCCAGCTCCAGGATTATGTGATTCTGTTTCTTTGCCAGTAAATTAGAAATGATTAATTTCTCATGACCAACTTATGAAGAGAAAAAACAAACCCAAAATACAATCTGTTACTATTCTTTTTTCTAATAGCTAAGAATAAATTCTATAACATTTGATGTTTTTAATTTGAGATATACTAGATATTTGTAAGAAGTTTACTCTAAATTAATTACAAACAGTACAGATAATACCAATTTAATAATTCTAGCCCAAACAAATAACATTATTTGTAACCCATGGCATAAAAAAGGTTTATGTAAAAATCTTCTTTAAAAATAATTGTCCATTTTGAACCCTTAGCCATAATTTAAGAAAACAATTTCTTTGCAGAATCAACAAACAGCTAAGCAAAGTTCCCACATGTTTTTTTCCTTGCAGTAAACATGGCCCTTTAAAAGTTTTTTTATTCTTATCAGTGCATTTATCACTTGATGCTTTCAAATATACTCAGTGTTTTTCTCAAGTAAAATCCTTTTTGCTCATGAATGATCTGAAACATTGCCCATTTGGAGTTAAATAATATTAAATTATTTGAAACAAAGACATTATTTTAAATGATAAAAACATTTCAAGACTATCTCTTATCATAATTCCAAAAGTAGTTGGATCAAATCCTACAAAATTTCTCCAATGAAATTCCACCTGTGTAGAGGGTATTTAATGCATAAGAATCAATTAGCAGGCATTAATGAATATCTATTGTATGCTCAGCTCCATGCTAGCTGCATGTAATACACAGTTCCTTATTTCAAAGATCTTTAAACATTACTATTTGGCAAAAGTTAACATCTATGGAAAATGGGGGGGGGGTAGTTTGTGTTTAAATCCATGGTCCAAGACATCAAAGAATTAATATGGGCTGGAATAGTCAAAGAATGCTTTTTGATGTTCATGAGACTGGACCTGATCTTTGAAAGGATCTGTGGGATAGAGGATTTTATTTATATTCCTTTGGGGAAAATACTGAGGAAACTTTTTTCCCTAAAAAGGGAAACATATTATAAAGAAGTACTACATGAAATTGAAGATAGGATACTATCCTCTTTCCATCCCACCCAATATTCTCCCTACTTGAGCCTTATTTTCCTTCATAGTGCTTATCAACACCTTGCATAGTATTAACTTGTCTATGTCACCCACTAGAGTGTGAATGTAATGAGGGCAGAGACTTTAGCTCTCTGTTCACTCTTCTATGCATAGCACATAGAATGGTACCTGACACATAACAGGTGCTCAAAAACTATTTTTAAAATACATTTAATTCAATCAATACCTTCAAGATATTATTGTTACCTACAAAGGGCAAGCACCATGCTAGGCCATAGAGACACAACAGTGAATAAAACTAAGCCAATTCCTGCCTCAGTAGAGTTTACAGTCAAGACATGGAACACAGGCTCACAAGTATGCTGAACGTTACAACTGAGCGTTGCAAGTTGCTCATGAATGCATAACAAGTCAACCCCTAACCAAAACAGGAATTGCCTCTTTGAGGAAGTTGATTTAAGCTGAAGACTAGAAAATAGAGAGTAGCAAACAGAAGGAATAAAAAGAAGACCAGTTGGTCTGGAACTTCAGGTGCTACAGGCAGAGTGGTTTGAGTGGAGCCTGGAGAGATGAACAAGGCCTAGATTCCACAATGCTTTACAGACCATAGTAAGGGTTTCAAGCACAGGAGTCGTTATCAGACTACACTGTAGGACCTGGAGTGGAGTGGAGCAAGAATGGAAATGGAGAGACCAGTAAGTATTTCAAGAGGTGAGACTAGGGTGGCAGCAGTAAGTCCAAAAGAAGTGAACAGATTTATGAAGATATAGGAAGAACTACATGACTCGTTAACCCATTTTCTATGGGGCAGTAGAAGAAAAGGAAGCATCAAGGATAGCCTTCAAGCTTCTGTCTTGTGCAACAGTAAATGTTGATGCCCTTTACTAAGATAGGGAAGAAGGAGAGGAAGGTGAGTTCAATTCGGACATATTGAGTTCTGGTCTCTATGAGACATCCAAGTAGAGATGAGTAGAGTATTGGATATGTGAGCTTGGAATTCAAAGTACAGACTTTCAAGTCACTGGCAAATACATGATAATGAAAGCCATGGCTATGGATGAGATAACTCAGGGACAATGTGTAGGGAGTGAATGAGATCAATCAGAAGAGAAGAGGACCTGGGAGGCAGGGCTAGATCATGAAGCATTTTCCTTTCTGTAACCTGATCTGGGCACTATTTTAGCCTACAATTCCCTGACCATCTCATCTCTCATGCCACTCTGCCACCAACCCTGTGGCCACATGCTGGACTTGTAACTCTCTGAACAGTTCCATATCAGAATCTTAGTCGCCAATGACCGACTCTCCTTCCTCCTTCTCGTGCCCTCACTCGCACTCTGTCTGCTCTTTACACTCAAAATGATGCTAGTCCCCTGACCCCAACCCCTAGTTTCTTTCAGTCTATCAACTGCTTGGTAGACCCTTGAACTATTCTGTCACCAACATCTCCATTCCCAGTCCAGTAACCCTGGATCAATCCCATAATCCATATCTATTTTCATACCCAGCTTGTCAGTACAAATTAGTAACACTATTGGGTTGTTGGAAAAGTCATGACGCATTTTTGCAATGAAAAAAATAGAAAAAATATGTCATGACTTTTCTGACAACCTAATATAAGTCTCCAACTTCAAATGGGTCCTTAGTATGCTTCAACAATTCTATTGCTTTCTTTTATCTCTTCTCCTCAGCCCCTGATATCAAATGTCCCCACCACTCTTGAAGTCCTTACACCTATCATTTTCGGTAAGGGATCCCACTCCTACTCTTCTGAAACCACTGAAGCTAACAGGCATGAATTCCCTGAACTTTGCATCCCATTCCCTGCACATGTAAGTCCATGTGTCCCCCTTCTTATACTCTCCCTCAGTTTTCCAAAGACAAGGTTTCACTTCCGTCAATCAAGGCCAACCAACTACCTATATTCTTTATTCCATCTATTCTAAAATCTTGTTCTGTCAAACTGCAGTCAACTTCCTACATATTTAACTGTTTCTTCCTCTAGATGTTGCCCCCTCCCTCTTCTCCCTTCTGGCCAATGTTCTTAAAGCACAGTTTGTAATCACATTTTCTGCTTTCTCACTTCCTATCTCACATCTCTATTGTCTATTTCCACTACCCTACCAAAATTGCTCTGGAAGAAAAGCCAACCAACAATATCCAGGGGTCATTTTCAGTTCTAGTCACCCTCTGCCTCTCTTGCTGTATTGGATACTGCTGGCCACTCATTTGTTTTCCACTTAATCATCTACTTCTCAGCTTCCTTCATGCTTCTCCTCTGCTTCTTCTTACCTGTTGGCCTCTGCCAGACCCAGTCTTATTACATATTCATTCTTTCTCTCAGTTTACGTACACCCATTGAAGTCACGGTAACCTTAATCCATCGTCTCTATCCTTGCCCCCCCATGACATTCAGATTCACACATCTACAGAACTGCCCCTCCAACCTCATTTTCCTTCACTTTTCAGCACCCATCATGGACTTCATCAAAATGAAATTGCATCCAGTTTTTCTGAACATACTTCTTTACAAAATTTCCATTTATCCTGGGTGACTCTCCTCAGGCATTGAAAAGCCTTCCCTCAATTCGTGAGGGTCCCTCCTCTTTTTCCCTGCATATATACACCTTTATACATACCGTGTATACCCCCGTATATCTTAGCATTTGCCACATTCTATTGAAATTAACCATTTACATGTTTCTTCATCTACTAGAATGTAAACAGATACACAATGTTGAGAAGTGAAAGATGACAACTTTGTTTACCAGTTCAAAAATTATCAGATTCTCACCTGAAATCCAGTCTCTATAAAGGCTGGAAATAATTAAAAGTAAGGAGAATATTATTAGAAATGACAAATAGAAAACAAAGAAGAAAACAGGCCTCTGTAACTTGGAACAAATGACTGTGTATGGACGAGGGATAAGGTCACGGAAAGGTTAGAAACAGAAGTGACTAAGTAGTGACTTGTACCCCACCCTCAACATTCTTCCCCTAATTCTTATAGGAGGTATAACTCACCAAAAATAGAAACTCCAATCCAAGAAAAATTATTCTCTACCTTCCTCTTTTTTTCTTTTCTTTTAGCAAACAAGCCCTGTAAGTGCGATGCTTGTGCTGGTGAAGTCACTATCAGGACCAAGAGAATATATTGTGGACCTGGAGATGCTGACAGTCAACAGTATAGGAACCTTCCGCACAAGCTCAGTGTTAAGACTGACAATAATAGTGGGGCCATTCTCATTTTAGTTTTTTAAAAGAGTCCACAATAGGCGTTTAAACCAGCCAAAGAATATTGTTACCTTAAAGCACTATTTTATTTATAGACATATCTAGTACATCTACATCTATATACTGTACACTCACCAATAATTCAAACAATTACACCATGGTATAAAGTGGGCATTTAATCTGTAAAGATCCAAAGTTTGTCTTTCTTACTGTATGTAAATTAGACATTAATCCACTAAACTGGTCTTCTTCAAGAGAGCTGAGCATATCTATCCGGTGCAACTTGGATTCTTTTCTGAAAAAGTGGGACCAAGCAGTGGTTATCTTCTGTGGTGCTTAAGGAAACTTACTGTAGCTCCACTGACAGTCTTATAAGGAGGCAGCCATCATAACATTGAATAGCAAGTTCAAGGATGAGTTTTTTAAACTGCTTTGTAAGAAAATGGAAAAAGTCAATAAAGATATATTTCTTTAGAAAATGAGGATCTACCATATTTGTGTTGGTTTTTATTTTCATGATCAGTCTTAACATGGTTGTTTATTACACAGTAATAAATCATTGTATAATATGCTAGTTTCTGTAGGTATTTTAAATTTTGCCAGAAACTTTTGATACTGAATGTAAAGCAAAAAACAAAAAACAAAAAACAGTAAGCAAAATTCCCAAAATGAATAAGGTATCCCCTATAAAATTATTATATTGAGACATCTACAGGGAAGAGATGTGAAAATGAATTCCTTCTATACCACATTGGAGTTGATCTGAAGAAGCAATATCAGTATGTTATGACCTGCTAAAACAAATACTTACTATAGGCTGGGTGACTTTTAAACAACAGAATTTATTTTTCACAGCCTGGAGGCTGGAAGTCTGAGACCAGAGTGCCAGCGTGGTCTGGTTCTGGTGACAGCCCTCCTCTGGGTTGTAGCCTCATACTCTCACATGGTAGAAAGAGAGCTGAGAAAGTTCTCTGGGGTCCCTTTTATAAAAGCACTAATCCTATTTAAGAGGGTCTCACCCTCACGACCCAATGACCTCTCAAATGCTCCACTTCCTAATACCATCACGTTGGGATTTAGAATTTCAACATACGAATTTTGGGAGGACACAAACATTCAGTCCATAACACTCAGTAAAATGAGGCGTTCCATGAGATGTGGAGCAAAGTGAAGAAAAGGTATTTTACTTTCTGAATAAAATTAGATGAAATGTTAATTTCTCAATAAAATTAAAGGCCTGAAACTTCACCAACTTATAACTAAAATTTCTCATCTGTATATTTGATGCTCACAGAGCCAGAAAATGGTGGTGGTTCTTATTCTTGGCATCCAGAGTGACAGTGAACTAAATAAAGCAAATGTCCCTCCCTCCCAATCCTGTGAAAAAGTTTTATGTCTTCTTATTTGTTTAAAATGTAACTGCTTCACTTTGATCATATTTTGTATCATATTTTTAAATAAAAACAAATATTCTTTTAGAGGGTCACCCAATCTTTGGAGGTTTTTTTTTTTTAGATTTTTATTGGGGGAATTGGGGGAAGGGGAACAGACAAGTTGCTGTCGTCTTGTTCTTCAGTCTAGTTGTGGAGGACGTTGCTTCACTGGCCCAAGTTGGCACCATCATTGCGCTCTTCCCCGGGCGAGGCAGATCAGTCGCAGGCTTCTGGACGGCCGCTCACTGCGGCTGCTGGCTACATGGCAACCCACTGCCACAGGGACTGTGGCCTACGCCGTCGCCGGCAACTCATGCCAGCCCAGCTCCAGGTTGAGCTGTTGTTCAGCATCTTAGCTGTGGAGGGCAGTGTCACTGGCCCTCATATGTGGGATCCGAACCGGGGCCCTCTGGCATCCCAAGCGAGTTCTTAACCATCGCGCCACTCGGCCGGCCCTGGAGGTATTTTTTAATGCAGCCAATAACAGCCAATGTAACTTTTGTGTCTGGGAAGAAATTCGTTCTAGCTGCCAGAGCAAGAACAGCCACTTGATTTTTTAAAATAAATGATCTATTATAGGAGATGAGGAAACAAAAAGACTAAAAATTGTGCCACAAAAAGGTGTGCAACCAATTTTCTCTTACATCTAGTTTCAAAATACATATGAATAACCTCTAACACCAGGTAACATTGACACTGAAAGAAGGGTTTCTCAAGAGTTGACTAAATGTTCATGCAGTAATTGTCAAAAAGAAAGTTCACCAAGAGACAAAGGAACAAAACACAAACTTCTTGTGTGAGTAGAGCAGGGGTTGGGTTTTTAAAAGTTAAAGGGGCATAAAACAGTGATGAGGGAATAGGCCTAAACAAGGGCCAGACAAGGAAGCAGCGTAAACAACCAGCCATAACACAGCAGGACTGTTGAAGGGGTTTCTGTCATGCTGCCCTCATGATTACCTACATTCCAGATACATTAAGGCTTAATCTAAACTCTTCCATTGCTAATCAATCTAGTGATTTTTCTACATATAGACACAGATCTCAAGTCAAAGCTAGGAATGGTAAGAGTTTTTTTTAAAAAGCCTAAGATCTTTCCACAGATTTTTCACCCTTAAACAAAAAGGCAGGGTCTTATCTATAACTTTTCAGAAGATTGTAGCAGAAGCAGGGATCTCTCTGAAATAATTATACATAAGTCCTGACTGCTAAACATATATATTAGTATATAGTTATATATTATTATGCATAATACAATTGTTATTATAAAATTATATATGTATATATACATGTATATGTATATATACCTATACATTTGTTTTTCTAGATCTGTAGAAGCTATTCACTTTCGACAAGATGGTTGCCCCTTAGTCCCAAAGCTTAGTCCTATTCACAAATCATAGACACATGGAAAGGGTTGAGGTATTGAAGTGTCACTGATGCAGTTTCTGTTTTTTCAATTATAAAATATACAAAAACTTCATTTTAAAGTGTACAGCTCAGTGGCATTTAGTACACTACGGTGGTATGCCAATATCACCACTATCTAGTTCCTTATCATTTTTATCACTTACAAATAAACCCCATATCCATTAGCAGTCACTCCCCATTTGCCTTTCTCACAAGCCCTGGTGAGAGTTAACCACTAGTCTACTTTCTGTCTCTATGGATTTGCCTATTCTGGACATTTCATATACATAGAATCAAATAATAGGTGGCCTTTTATGTCTGGCTTCTTTCACTTAGCATAATGTTTTCAGGGTTCATCCATGTCACAGCATCTCATTACTTCATTTCTTTTTATGACTGAGCAATATTACATTGTTTAGAAATGCCATATCTTGTTTATCCATTTATTAGCTGATGAACATCAGTTTGTGGGTCAGTTCCACGTGCAATCCCGTTTTATCTTAAGTGTCAAGAAGGAACCTGATTCCTAGGCTATTCATTCACAAATTTCACAGCCTAAATCACCCATTTTCTGGTTCATTTTTAACTAAAAAGAACAACAAGTGAAAAAAAAAACCAACCTTTTTTTTCATTCACAGAAACAAAATCCTGGAAAGAACTATGAAAAGCTAGGACATGAATTCCTTTACAGGTACAATCATTCTCAGTAAACATAAAAATCTCATACTTTCTTTCAATGTAATTTGAAATTCAAAACAAAGCAAATATCATTACAAAAAAACAAACCAAAGCAGTAAGACAAAGCCCTGCTGTGTTTTCAAACCACACATCCCTCCCTCCCCACTTCCTCCATGGGAATCACTGATTTAAACCAGCTCCCAGAAATGGGAATTATGAGAATTAATCATCAGAGTTGTTCTTACTCAGCAGCAAACATTTATTGAGCAACTTCTATGGTAATCCCTTCCAACGTCTAACCGCATGATGTAGTACGGAAGGACCACGATTCTAGTCTCAGTTCTAACATTAATCAGTTGTGAGACTTAGCTTCTTGGGACTTGGTTCCTTTATCCATAAAACTGGGCTATTAAAACAAGGTGTTTTTCCAGCTTTAAAAAGTATAACTAATCCCTACCCCAGGGTTGCATTGAGAGAAAAGATGGCTCTATTTGCCAATTTTTTTTAAAGCATCTGAGCATTCTTTGTAATGCAGAGGCTGTTGAAAAGCTTTGGACATTGGTGGAAGGAAAAATCCATAGTTCCCTCCCCAAAACAGGTCTTCACAATGTGGTTTCATGACTGTAGCCAAGGACATGAGAAATAACCCAATTTATCCATACATTTTTAAAATTACAATTTAAACTAAAAATTTTTAGTGTTCAGTTAAATTATGTATGTTTTTGTTCCTTTCTACTGATACTGAAATATGATTACTCATGTGAAAATAAAAGACATTTTATCTTGTTTCACCAGTGAAAAAAGTCCAGCCATGGGTTCCCACACTTCAAACATGCTTCTAGGGAAATTCATGTGTTCTTACTCAGTAATGAGACGTGAACTGGTCATTTCCATCATTTCCCCATTCTAATACCCATACCTGGACTCTGAGTCTTCCATGCTTTGTGGGTGGACAGGGTTATTTTCTGACAGTGGTTAGGAAAGCCCTCTTAGTTGTCAAGACTTCCCCAAAGCAGAATAACTTCCCTCCCACTGCCAGATTTCCCTCTTAACTAGTTTATTTGACAACTTACAACCTCCATCTCCTCTAAACATAAAATCTCCTATGACATACACTTTAATAAGAATAGAATTCTAAACTTAAATGCCTCCTCATCAAGCCATCTTATTTTAAGAATTGCTCAAGGGCACAGTTTGTTGAGCAAGAGCACTGTGCCTGACTAAAGGTCTTAGGACTTATATTAGGGCTCTTTGCCTTGGCCACACTCCAACATTCAACTCCAATAAGCCACCCCTTCCCTTCCAAGCTGCTTCCTGCACAGCGGCCACCCGAGTCATGGACCTGCCTTGCTAGTTGCCAGGACCAGTTGTCACTGCTGCTGTTACATGCAGTGAGGTTAAAATAACACAGATACGAAACTGATTCTGATCTACTCTCTTAAATTTTAGCTAATTTGTTCTCTTTTAAAATTCCAAAGAGGCGGAAGTAATTGTGTTACATGAAATACTCTTGAACTCCATAAACTGAAACTCAAAAACCAATCAGGTAGACCTTACTATACTTAGAGAACCGCACTTTCCAAAAGGATAAAAGCCTGTCACCAAATATCCAAATGGAGCTGTCGGCATGGGGAAGCTTTGAGAGCCACAGTGGTGAAGATGGAGTGAGTCTAACACATTTTTGGTTTAGAAGCTGGACCAAAAGGCTTACAGAGCCCTTCCTTCCATAGGATTAGTGTAAAGGTAAGGGGTTAATGTAAAGATTACTGCCAATCCTTGACATTGGTTAACATTCATTAGGTGATTTTTGAAGGGGCAAACAATGAACATCGTCACCGAAAGGATTCTTGCTTTTGAGGCCTGGACTAAGATAATATACATCTTATCAACACCCCAGTCCTCAATGAGGCTTTTAGCTCTTTCGCAATATGTTTAAGTGAAAATGGCAGAAATAACTAAGGATGTTTAAATGTGATTTAAAAATATAAACACTGGAGGGTAGAAATCAGCTAGAAACCAATCTCCATGTGTAATACATGTAGTCACCTCTACTACTCTGCCTCTACAAAAAAGATGTTTTAGTGACTCCAAATGATGGAAATAGAAAGACTGTTCAATACTCTAAGACCACCTGAACACAGCCCATTGGGATTATTACTTTTGGGGAAGCTTCACAAATTCAAGTTTATTGCTGAATCTTGCTTGTTTCCATGACTCCAAGCAGTTGCTTATGTTTTGAATAGCCGTGAATGCTTCTAACTTTCTAAGTCTTCTTTTAAAATATAGAACAGCTGCTAGTCTGCTCATGTGTTATGCATAAGAAGCCCACAAGGGACAAAGCCCTTCATTAATATGTTGAATTATTTTTAACACACTTATATTTCTATCCTGAGTCATCATCTCAAAAAGATGGCAAGTTTCCATCTTCCCAGCTGGGGGGAGCACCTGCAAAATACAAACCCAAACTGTGACACATCTGGTACCAAAAAACCAATCTTGTTTCATCTGGCCAGCAGACTAAAATATCAGGATCACTGAACAGAAACAAGGCAAAAAGTTAACTGCCTCTTATATGTAGTCAACACAGATGTCTAGTTAAGCTGTTTATATTGTAAGCGCATGTGTATGTTAACGGAGCACAGACCCCTTTAATAAGCCAGAGTTGGAATATAAATGCAAGAGAATTTTAAAGACCTGAATGCAATAATTCAGTTCTTTTTTATCTTCCCATAGAAACTCAATTACTTTCTGCAGAATCTCAGCATTATTTTTAAACAGATGCATATACACAAATAAATAATTTTGTTGAATTTTGGGGGGTATCTCTAAATTCTTTAGTTCCTTTAAAAACTATATCTCATGTTTTTTAGTTTAATATTTATATTATGTTTCTTTAAATGACAAATTACTGACTTAAACCAGGTGTCTTGGTTTGTGTTGCCCCCAAAGCAGATTCTGAA